GATGTATGCGACGTGTTAAACATATCATTTGACATGTCGATCACGTGACCGAACATTACTTACCGATTGAACATATTTCGGTGACCAGGAGGACATTAGTAGCGGATCACTTGTAGACGACGAACGAGACATCCGGGTCGGCAGGTTCTCGCAAAACTGCAGCTACGATCTAACATCCGGGTCATAACGCGCTACTACACTGAACACGTGGATACTGGCGGAGGCTGGTTCTCCTACCTTCTCACCTCCGCAGCCCCCCTTTTTCTCCTTTGCCGCCACCACCACCACCACCGCCACCCACCTTTACCTCCCTTTCCGTCCACCTCGAGTATAACTGTCCTTCTCTCACTTACGACAGGTACGATAATCTCTTCCCTGTTTCACTGTTTATATTCCTTAGTCGCTCCCACTCGTCGATTTATCTCACTCGTTTATTCCCTTTCGCCACTTTTTCGCTCGCTCGCACCTTTACCCCGTGCTGCTACCACGGTCACGATCGGGCAGTCGTGTTCCTCTACCACCGCCATCATCGCCATCCTCGCCACCACCACCAGCTACTGGTTGCGTTTCCTGTACATGCGGTTTTGTCCGAATCATTTGCGCAAAGTCCCGCCTTAAGAACTTTTCGGTATTGCTCCAAGCGTGCTCCAGGGGTACCATAGTGTTCGGGTGAGGTTGAGATTGAGATTTTTCGAAGCGAAGTTTATATTTTGAACGATATAATAACAATCTGTAAGTCATTAAAAAATGTGATTTGTTATTTTTTTTTTTTTTTTTTTATTGTATCTGGAGAGAATTTCAGATAACTTTGGATAATTTGAATGACATTGAAACATGAAATTTAGGAATAGAATATCAAATAAAAAATATTATTGAATTTCTAGGAAGAAAAAAATGAAGATATATATATATTATTTTCTTCAATTATTTTTTAATTATTTCATTAATTGAAAAAAATTACCGTGTATTTTTTTCTAAGATATATTCATTATTTTATTATACATTTTTTTTTAAAGTGTCTATTTCCTGTTTAAAATATTGTTTTACAAGATTATTGGCATCAGAGGCAGCTTTGTGTCAACTATTAATGATTACATTATAATAAACTATTGATCGAATGAATTTTTCTTCCTTTTTTTATAGAATATTAATATTTACTTGAAATTATTTTTATTCTAATAATATTGAATAATTTTACCTATCTTAAATTATTACTTATCTTTCGATTTTTGTATAAAGATTTGTTGACATTTATCTTTGTCTATTGATGAAAACTAATTTACTACATATAAATTGAAGTAATACATTTTACTTTTTTATTTTATTTCATAATCATAATTCGCACAAAACTGCTCGAAATAATTGGAATAGCATTTTATCAATTTTAATAACAAATGAGTTTATGTATTTATTTTATTCTACAATTCAAAAATATGATCCCTTAATTATTTTGAGCAACACATTCATATTAATTGGTTCATTCGACGGTGATTTCTTTTGAATTTAAAATTATATTCAAAATAAAATACCAGAACAAGAAATTTTTAAATCAAAAATAATTCAAAATCCATAAACATATTTTATCCATTTTTTAAATTACAGACGATTCAATTTTTTATTTTTTATTTGTCATATTAAAAGCAAAAGTATCTGTAATTTATTCAAAAGAATAATATATAAGTTATCCCAAGTTTTAATTTCCAAATTTTATCAATATATTTTATAAATTTAAATAAAAGAAAAATATTATAAATATAAATCATTTGAAATTTTATTAAAAAATTATGATAGAAGTACAAAGAGAATAATAATGGATTTGTTTAGTCAATATTTATATTTAATTTATTTCTCATGATAATCTACTTCTCATAATAATTTTATGTCAGCTGTTTCTATTTTTCATAATATTGTAATATTTCCAAAATTAATATTCCATTTTAAAATATCCATTGTTCTTTATAATACAAAATTAAGAGCGATCAAAAATTGAATATATTTCAGATTTCATTGAATACATAATTAAAAGCGATCAAAAATTAAATATATTTCAGATTTCATTGAATACATGATTAATTTATCAATTTATTATATAAACTTATTATATTTTCAACAATCAACAATTATTTTATTTTAATATATTTTTCTTGTATTTCAAATAAATGCATAAATAAATAAATTTAAATATTATTGATTTATTCTCTTTGTATTTTGTATTTTTATCATAATTTCTTAATAAAATTTTAAATGATGTTTATATATATATGTTTACATGTACATTTGTTAAAATTATAGCTATCTTGACCGTCAATAAAATAAAAAATCGATGAGCTTAGAAATTGTATTAATAATCATTATTATAATTTCATTATCTAATTAATTAAGAAAATTTAAGAAAGCACCTTGTACATTTTCATATTTCAAATAATTACATTTTCGACAAAATTATATGAAGGAGATGTCCTCATATATGTATGCATAAATTATTGATAAATTTATGAATATCAAAACTTAATGTAAACCTATTTTCATATAATTGCATCAGCTATTTATAAAAATATTTTATGAAAAACATCCTATTGTCATATGAAGTAAATAGTTGTTTATAAATTCTAATAGCTGCAACTATAGCAATTAATTTCTTCTATTTTATTTGCATTCTAAGTTTAATTGTTTCTCCAGTCTTTTTTATCATATTTGCAATAATCAAAGATCTAAATATAAAATGAATTTATCTTAACTTTTAATTAATTTTATGTATAAAATATATACTAATATTAAATATTCGATAAGATTAAACTAAGGATAAATTAGATATTCTACCATAATTTCATAATTTAATTTCCAAAGAGTTACCAAAGTATTGGATATTATTGGATATAGCAGTTTTTGTATATTGTATAGCAATTGTATTTTGAACTTCATCTATAATATAAATACTATTTCTTATTAAATATACCATATTTACCATATTTCATTAAAAAATAAAAATTTCTTGAAATGATACATCAATATATATTTTAAAATTTAACTAAAGATTCAATAATTATTGCAAATTTTTTTTTTAATATAAATTGTATAAAAGAGATTACTTTTTTAGTAACTTTCGTTTAAATAATGCTAAACTAAAATAAAATTATTTTTAAACAATTTGATAAAATTTCTTTAAGTTATGAATGCAAAACTAAATCAAGTATTAATAAATTAATACAAATAAAATTAATTTTTTAATTTTTTAATTTTGTCAAAATTCTTATCGATTTTGAAAAATTAATTATCTATAATTTTGAAAGTATCGAAATAAAAAATAGTTATTGAATTACAATAAAGTTAATGGCAATGAAGTTATATTAATATTTGACTATGTATATTTCAAATAAAATTTATCGGCGTTACAATTTGCTGTAATATGTAAATCATAATAAATGAAATCTTATAAATTACGTATAGATGGACTATAAATTAACGTTTTCGATAATGCATGCATATATAGAATGAGGCACTTAATACGTACGTAATAAATCATTATTTTCATTTGAAAAATAATTCCATAATTACAATTCTAAAAAAATTATTATTATCAGATTTTTTGAAGCGTAAAATATAAAATTTCTCACATTTCCTAATTAAATTATTAAAATAATGATTCTTTTCTTTCTAATTTTTTAATTTTAATTTACTATTTTTTTTCAAATTTTTTTAATTTCAAATATTTATTGTGATATAGATATAAAATTTATAAATACATCTTTTTAATTTTATTATAATTTTTTTACTTTTTTTATTACAGTACAAACAGTTTTATATTTCTGTATATATGTATATTTTGTATATATATGTGTGTATAAATAAAAAAAAAAGATATTTGTTGTGAATATATTGTGTAGAACAGAATAATTAAGTTAAAATGTTTGATTGACTTCAAAATTTACCATATATATTAAAAATACAAATATTTCTAATATATTGCATTTTATTATATTTTACTTAATATACTTTTTATTGTGTTTATATGCACATGATTTATTGAATCTTACAAAATACCCTCCTCTATATAATTTGATATATAATATTTTCATTTATTGAATTTAACATAATAGTATTTTAATTTAAAATATTATGCTATAAAAAACTGAATAAATGCTAACTATGAGAAAGAGAATAATTGATTAAATAAAACGTGTTAAGTGTCTCACGCTGTACATGTACAAAACATTTTGTTCGATTTCGTTACTAAAAATATATTTATATTATGAATTCTAAATATATTTTAACTCCTATTTTTTAATATAAAGGAGAAAGATGTATTTTATAATCGTAAATAATATATAACATAGATACTAAAGTATTCTATTTATAATATATTTGATTTTATGAAAATTTTAGATTAATGATATTCTTTCGATAAATATTTTGTGCAAAATATTGCAGAAAATAAAGAAAATATGATTAATGATTAATGGTTATACATTTTATGAACAAGTTAATGAATTAAGTCTTTGATAATGATATTTAAACATTCATATAAAATTAAAAATATTTCTAATTATATATTTTCAAAATACAATTTTCAATCATTATATTCAAAATAAATAATAAAATACTCCATTCGATAAAACGAAGCAATTTCATTTTCTTTTATTGTATTAATATCGACAAAAAAGTGCATTAATAATTTTGAATCAGCAAAATTTTACATAATATTTTAATTATCCATACTTAATTGAATACGATTTTTATTTCAGTACACGATTTTAACTTGAACATAAGAATAAATATTTCATATTAAAATTACGTGAAACACATTATGTTGTACACGTAACTTTTATTTATTTATTTATTATTGATCAATTATCATGAATAATCCAACATTATAGATTTAAAAAAAAAAATCTCAAAAAAAATTAATAATTTCAATTTCTTTATTTTTAAATATTTGCATTGAATATATGTAATTACTAAATAAGTAAAGAATCGATACTTGGGTCTTTTCATTTTTTTGCATTTCACGTTTCTTCACTGGCACATATTTGTGCAATTGTATATATTAAAAGAATTGGAAGTTACAATTATGTAGAAATTAAGAATTTATAAATAGCTCTTTTTTTCTCTTTCTTTCTTTTCTTTGCAAATATAATCATTAAATCAATCTCTAGCCATTGAATATAATTATATGTATATATGTATACATATTCTTCCAAGCTGTATATACATTGTATATTGTTATAGATGTTAAAGTTAAAATCAATTTGCACAAATTAATTAAAACATTATTTCGCATGATAGTTTTGTTTAATGATAAATTCTTTAAAAGTAAAATAAATCATTTACATCATTTCATTTGTATCTGCATATATAGCGATTTTCAATCATCTACTATACAGAAATCGAACAAAGAAGCAGAATGAAATGCAACCGAAACGTGTCGTTTGTTAGTAGATATTGATGAAACATAAAAAATGACAAAGCTAATGTAATAATATTATTATTATTTATGATTCAGCTAATTCTCTGCTATCCTCGTCCCATTCAGCAAAGCTTCTCGTTTTATTTTGCGTATCATTTTTTTCCAATCTTGCTCTCCCTCGACATGTTCTTCTTCAATTATCATAACCGATTCCTGAGGTTCTCCTACACTGTTACTCTGTTCGCTACATTGCTCATCATATTCCACTATTTCTGTCTGTTCTTCTACATATTGTATAACTTCTTCTACTTGGTCAGAACTGCATTCTTCTAATATTTCAGATTGCTCAACTTGCATATCTTCATCCATCACTTTTTCTTCAACTTCTTCAACTACTTCCTCTACTATCTCTTCAGTCTCTTCAGTAAGTTCTTCTGAATGATAATTCTCATATGTTTGTCGTTCTACTTCTTCGTTTCCATGAATATAACGATCATTCCATCTTCCGTGCCTTGCATTACAATCTGCTCATTGTCGCTAATGTTTAATTGTTGTGGCTGTTGTTGTTGTTCAGTCTCTTGTTGCTGATATTGTTCATTATCGATAAGCATGATCATATGCTGTCCATCAATATCATGTGTATTGTAAGTTATTTCGTGCGAAATATTGTTTAATTGCATTTCTGGTACCATATACTCGGATACATTTGAAGTCACTTCCTGTGATTCCGACGGAACACCGTCTCCAACGCCTAAGGAAGCTGCTATACCACTGGCCACATGACTCAAAGCTTCTGCTTCTGAAGAAGGCTCTAAAGAAATTGGTGGCATGGATACTGTATCAGAATCCCGCAAATCCTTATGCACGCAATCGAGATGAACTTGTAAATTGGTAGCTCGTACGAAAACTTTACCACAATGAGTACAACGATGACCCTTTTCTTTGCCATCTGACAAATTTCCATGACCTGTGTTAATTTCATGAGTTGTTAATTCAGTAACGTCTTTGAAGGTCTGTGAACACTGCATGCATTGAATTTCCTCAACTGTTGACGAATGTTGACGTGATGTTGGTCGATGATTATGATTGATTTGATGTCTTACCAATAATGTCTCCGAAAGTGCCACATAAGAACATGCTTGACATTTCGGGAAACACATACTTTTTGGAGGAGGCACGTTGTGTTTCGTGTAAAGATGATACATTAAAATGTTTCGTTTAGTTGCTTTATAGCCACAGTGTTCACAAACTCGCGGATCGAATTTTTCTTCATGTACATCTTGCATGTGCCTTCTATACATATAATAATTTGTATATTCCTCTTCTAAATCACATTTGTTACATTTCCAAGGACCAGTTTCGCCACCATCCACACTTCCATTACTCTTTGACTCGGTTTCATCGCTATTATTACTTGACATCAAATGATCAGATTTTAAAACTACATAAGAAACTTTTGTTTTATTTGCTGAATTACTGTCCGAAGATTTTGCTTCTTTTTGCATGATTTTCAAACGTATATTCTTATTATTTTTTACTAAATGAGGATATTTTTTCAATACTTCTCGAATAATTTTCGCATGATTATTTATCGCATCTTCTGAATTTGTTCTGTAAGATGATTTTCCCTTCTCCATATTCTCTTTTTCTTCGAGATCAAATCGTACTCTCTTAGATGGCGAAGGTTGTGTATCCTGGCCTCTTTGGAAAGATCTAGTCACAGACCAATCATCATCTGAATTCATTTCTTTTAAACCTTTCTCATTTGAATGACCTTCATCTTCTTCGTCTTCAGTTGTATCATTTTTACTTTCTCTATCTGGAGAACATTTGCCACTAGGCGAATTATCTCTTTTATATTTGTCTGGAGCTTGAACAATAGGTTTTGTATTATATGTAATATCATCAAATGATGAAAACACTCCAAGTGCAAATTCTTCAGCTTCAGGGAGATCAAATCGAGAAGGTCCAGGAGTTACTTCTGTAGGTCTATTTGTTGATGGCATTCCATGGAATGTTCGCATTTCATAATTAAGTGATGACATATTTTGTGATGTATCTAATTTTCTTTTCCAAATAGGAAGTCTATAACAATAAAACAATAAAAAAAATATTACAATTAAAAATAAGTAAATTAAAAATTTATATTAAATTTTTAGAATGATTAGATTTATCAATTTAAATAAGTTATTTATATTATTATTATATTTATATATATTAATATTCTCTTCAAAAAAAATTATTGTTATATAAAAGTTTTTAATATATAATTTATCAAATCTATGAAGTATATAGTTTTATACTTACTTTCTACCTGGTAATGGCTGATTTGAAAGTCCTGATGGAGTGGAAGTAATTGTTGGTTTTGTGCTAGGTGTTGAAGGCTTTGAAACTGCTATAACTGATCGTGTATTACACTTCATTGATTGTTCATTTTGTAAAGGAGCAGTGTTAAATTGTGCATCAAGTAATTTAGTTAAAACTGTCATATTCATTTTCTGTGCTGTACGATACAAAGCATGTTGCTCTGAAGTCCAATATTCTAACTGACCAGTGTACATAAAGCTAAAAATATTATAATACATATACATATATATTAGATATAAAAATTATTAAAGGATTAAAAATAAATTATAAAATTTACCTTATAATTGATTTTACACATTCATATGGCATATCTGGTGGCATAATGATTATTCCATCAAAATTTTCATCCTTTTCTTTTTGCTCACGTTCAAGTTGCATAAAATAATCTGTGCATGTTGTTATTACTAAACGATGAGCCTAAAAAATTAACAAAAAATCAATTATAATAAATACTAAAATAAAAAAAGAAATTTATTTATTATAATTCATAATTTTTAAATAATATATTATATATATAAAGTTACCTGAACAGTGATATCACTAGTGGGAAATTTGATTGTAAGATCAAGTAATTCTTCTTCAAAATAAAGCTGTTGTAATCTCTGAAGAAAGAAAGTTCCCCAGTTATCTACTTTTACTTGCTTTAATCCTCGTGAAGGAAGTTGTTTTTCCTGATTTGCTGGTTCCATTTTATATCTGTACATTAGTTAAAAAAATAATTTTCTAAAGTTCCAAAAACATTTATCATTAATATATCAAATATTTAAAATTTTTTGTTAAATTTTATTATTAAAAAATTAATAGAAATGCTTGTAATACTAAATAAAAAATATTGAAGTACTTCTAATTTTAATATTCTTTAATAATATCATTTAAATTATCAAATAAAGGTCAAATATTAAAAGATATATATACATTTTAACATGATTAATTTCAAAATATATTATTTTATTATACAATATATTTAACAATTAATATTCATTAATTTAATAAACTATATTATATTTTCTTACCTGATATTATTAAATTTAACTATTTATTATATTTATTTATACTGATGATCCAATGGGACAAAATCCTGTAATAGAAGAAAAATAAGGAATACCGCAAGCTTAATCTTTAATTAAAAGATAATAAATTATAATTTCATTTTCTCATAAAGAAATACTTATATCAATTTATATTAATTGTATTAATTATAATACTTATAACTGTTAAATTAGCTACTATTCATAAAACTGTTTAATGTCATAAAAAAAATTATTATTTACATTACAAATGCTATTTCATAGGCACAAATATTACTTAACATTCCTGAAAATAATCCCTTCGTACTTGTGAATCAAATGCCATAAAATCCATGTCATAAAGAAAATTATTGTCTCAATTAATTATTTCAGAGTAACTTAACCTGACTGGTTTCTAAAAATCAAAAGTTTCATATCTTATATTATAATAATAATATATTAACGAAGTCCATTGACATCGGAATATGGTTCTGTAACTTACAATAGCAAGCGAAGTACGCTAATATAAAAATTCTACAGTATATGTAACGCTACGTACATATTACTATAAAATTGCTCCGAAATTCAATTAAACTAAAATATTGCAAAAAGAAGAATACTATATAAATGAAAGGAAGTAAAAGAACTGATGAAAGTATCAGCGTATACTTTGTGGAACGCTGAAAAACGGAAGTTTAATAATGATGCACGTCTTCCTTTCATGATCAAAGTCGGACATATTAATGGTTATTTCAAATATATACAAATTCAAAATACCCCGTGGATATATTGCACGTACCTATTTAACAATATTTCAATATTCCTCTCAGCTCCATCTCTTATAAATTTCCTTAGTACACAAGTAATATTGAACATTCCATTGTATATCACGACTCACAGATGGAGTTATACGTATCGACTGATCACCACGGGAACAAAATATGGAGAAATGTACAACTATAAAATTATAAATTTTACTATTATAAATTATAGTAGTTTATAATTTACATATAATGTAAAAAAAAAGAAAGAAGATATTCTATCCGAAAATCATTAGAGAATTGAAAATATGAAAAAATATAATTAATTCCATAAATTAAGATTAAATGCAATACATACAGCATATTCTGGCCAATATTCTTATCCAGAATGCAATATACGACAAAAAATGAAATTAATAGATTTAAATATTATTAATAATCAATTAAATGTAATACAGAAAAGATTTTTATTATTTATAAAATATTAAATCTTTAAAAATACTTAAATATTTTTTCATAATAAATATTAAAAATAATTAATAATGATATCAAATATTATATATATTTATTGTATTTTTTAATCTAATAAAAATTGTTATATACATAAAAATATATTTTTTTTAAATTCCTTTAATAAAATAAAGTTTTCTTAAAATCATTAAAATTTTACATAATCTAGGGAATTTATATAATATCTTTGAAACTGTATTCTATAAATAAAAATACATTTACTTTTTTTTAAAATAGATTATATGATCATACATATAAGAAAAATAAATATAACGTCAATGGATGAGTGAAATGTATGAAACACTAGCTAATATCAATAATCATCGATGATTAAACATAAAAAAACCCCAATGGAAAATATAAAATATATTTCCATAAAAGGGGTGAACATATGTATATATTTTAAAAACTGTCATTAGATACTACCATTTGTTTCTTATTTGTTCTAAAATTATATCTTTTTAGAATATCATAATTTTAAAAAATGGAAGATTTGATATTGGATTTTGATCAAAGCTGCTTGTAACAAAAAATAAGAAAAAAATTGTAATAATATCTTAGTAAGTATCATATTATATTATTTATATTTTATAAAATTAATTTTTTTAATATATATGATTTCTAAAAAAATATTAAAACTTAAACAACAGGTTTTATAGGATGATGAGGTTGAATTTCAAAACAGTATTACTTGTAATAGTAGTTGCAGTGTTAAGTTCAATATTAACATCTTGGAACAATTGTGGTAGTCCATCATTTTTTAAAAATACTGATTGGAAATCAAAATTTCAACATAAAGTAAGTAAATTTAGTTTAAATTATATAATTAGATTCAATATTCATAATATTTTTATAAAATTTCTTATATATTGTTTATACATTATTTTTAAATTAACTCTTAAAAAAATTATATGATATCAAATTATATCAAATTATTATAGCATTTTATCTTTTTATATTAATTATATTTTAATTAGAATTTTAATTGAAATATATACTTTATAAAATAAAAATTTATAAAATAATGATAATACTTATTTTATTATCATTTTATTATTTTTATATAAAGGACCGATTAAACTTAGAAACTGGATATCAAGAAATAGATTGTCACATAAATGGTGATTATTCCATTGGATGTCGTAAGGAAGGAGATGAAGTTTATATACCATTCTCATTTATTCATAAATACTTTGAGGTAAATATCAATTATATATATTAATTATATATCAATAAAATGTTAATATTTTTAATAATATTAATATTTTTAATATATATTAGATTTATGGAAAGTTAGCTACCTATGATGGTTTAGAAAGATTTGAATGGTTGCACAGTTATTCCAAGATTGTTAATCCTAAAGGAAAATATGATCCCAGAGGAGTATTTATGACCTTTGAAAATTATAATGTTGAAGTTCGAGAACGTGTTAAATGCATCAGTGGAAATGATGGAGTACCAATATCTACTCAATGGGAGAGTCAAGGCTACTACTACCCTACTCAAATTGCTCAATTTGGATTATCACATTATAGTAAAAATTTAACAGAACCAGAGCCTCACAGAAAGATAATTGAAGATTCAGATAAAGTTAAAAGAGAATGGATTATACCTCAAGGATCTATTGCATCTAGAGTATTTGATAAATATGCTAATAGTTATGTAATGAAATTTGCAACACCAGAAACTAGTACTTCTGGTATTACTTTAAAGTTAGATCATGTGCTAGATTTTGTATTAAAATGGGATTTTAATATTAAAGACAATGGTAGTATCATGATTACATTACAATCTAGAGAAAGAAAGGAAATATATTATCTTCATTATATTACTAGTAATATGGTGTTACATACTTATAACAATCATGTTTATTATGGAATTGGTCAAATTAATCATCAGTGGAGAAGATTCACTAGAGACTTAGTTATAGATCTTCAAAAAGGTTTATATTTAAATGATAAAAATAAAAAGAAAATGTCTCGTTCAAAATTGAAGGCAAGATTTAAATATAATAAATAAAAATAATAAAAATGATAAATATTTAAAAAAACATATTAATAAAAATATTACTTTACAGATTGTGAAGATAACACTATATGGATCTGGAATGATTGATAATGTAACATTATCTACAAGTGAACATATGGAACAATTTTATGATGCAGCTAGATGGTTTGTTAGTAACCAGAATATTAGTTCTGGTGGTTGGGCAAATCCTGTACGAAGAAAAGTAGCTACTGGAATGGCTACTCTTGAACCTGGATGGTACAATTTTAACAAATTTTTAAATTTCAAAAATTCATGATTAATATGTTTATTTAAATATAAACTTTCTGTATAATAATAGGTATTCTAGTATGGGTCAAGGCCATGCAATTTCTGTATTAGCACGAGCATATTATCATTCTGGTGAAGAAAAATATTTACAAGCTGCTGTTAGAGGTCTTCAACCTTTTAAATTATCATCTAATAAAGGAGGAGTAGCTGCAGTATTTTTAAATAAATATGTGTGGTATGAAGAATACCCTACAACACCTTCTTCGTTTATACTTAATGGATTTATTTATTCTTTAATTGGTTTATATGATTTAAAAAGCATAGCGACAGCTAAAGATGCGGAAGAAGCATCCCGCCTTTTTAATCAGGGTATGACCTCTCTGAAAAACATGTTAACATTATATGATACAGGTTCTGGTACTACATATGATTTACGTCATTTTACATTAAAAACTGCCCCAAATTTAGCTAGATGGGATTATCATTCTACTCATATTAATCAACTTCTTCTTTTAAATTCAATTGACAATGATTCGATTTTTACTACTACAGCAGAACGTTGGATAGGTTACATGAATGGTAAGAGAGCTGCACATAATTGATTTTTTTTCTTATGATCGATTAATTTTTATATTTTTGTTTTTTATTTATTAATATTTAATATCTTATTTTTTCATTTCATTTTGTATTATACATTTTGTAAATAATTTTTAATAATCACAAGATAAAGTGGACCAAAATATATTTCTCTTTTTGTATAATTGTAAAATGAAAATAGTAACAATCAAATATTCATTCTTAATTATTTGCTAATATTTTTGAAATATTATTACATTAATATAATTGAACAAAAAAAGTAAGATGATATGAATACTTATTTATTCATTATAATGAAATATAAAATTCTATAGTCAAATTAGATCTATATATATATATATATATATATATTATTATATATATTATATAAATTATATATATATATATATAT